GCCTGGGGGTCTCAGCCCCCACCGAGATGCCCCGCAGCCCCCCGCGGGGATCAGCCCCCGGTGTGCGCCCGACTCCATCCTCGTCCGCCGCCGCCTGCTCCCGCCCGCCCGGCCCCGCGAGCTCCCGCCGCCCCGCTTCAGCTGGGGGGTCCCGGGCCCCGGGGCCTCCGCCCCCCCCATGCTGCCCCCGCCCGCCCGGCTCCCGGGGATGCAGCCGCCTCTGCGCGTCGCCGGCTCCGCTCCCGCGCGGTGGGAGGGGGGGCGAGATCCCGGCTGGGCGGCCCGGCCTCGCCAGCCCCTGGCCCCCGGGGACGGGGGGCTGCTCCGCCCGGCTCCCCGCTGCTGCGGCAACCGCGGGGCCGCCCCCCCTCTCCCCCGGGGCCGGGGAGTTAACCCTTCCAGCCCCGCAGCCGGGCAGCCCCAGGGCCCGGCTCCGCCCATGTACCCCCCCACCCACTGCCCCACTCTGTGTTCCCCCCATCACCCCACTGCCCCATCCCGTGTGCCCCCCATCATCCACTGCCCCACCCTGTGTGCCCCCACCCACTGCCCCCACCCCGTGTGCCCCAATGTGCCCTCGCTGCCCCCACCACCCACTGCCCCCACCCAGTGTGCCCCCACCCAATTCCCCCAACCCAGTGTGCCCCCAATGTGCTCTCGCAGCCCCCATCACCCACTGCCCCCACCCCGTGTGCCCACCACCACCCACTGCCCGCACCCCATGTGCCCCCCACCATCCACTGCCCCACCCCGTGTGCCCCCCACCATCCATTGCCCCATCAACCCACTCCCCCAATCTGCCCCACTGCCCCCAAACCCATGTGCTCCCACCATTCCCCCAGCGGCTGCCCCCCAAACCCACGTGCCTCCATCACATCCACTACCGCCCCCCGTGTTATCCCCCCTCACTGCCCCCTGCCCGTGTGCCTCTCATACCCCCCACTGCCCCCTCCCCCACTTCCCTCAGACCCTGTCCCTAGAGTCCCCTTAACTCTGGCCTTGTCTCCATGCAATTTTCACACACACCCTGGTATGCTGGCAACCCTGCGGCCTCTCCCTCCACCCCAGCCTGTATCCCTCCCTCGACACTGTTGCAAACACGAGTGTAGACAGCACTCCGGGGGTGTTAGCTCGGGCCCAGCAGGGCTAGACGCCCCCGAGGTTATTGTTATTTGTATTGCGGAGTTTCCAATCGATATGGGCCCCTTGTGCGGGGCAATGCACAGACCCCACCCGAGATCAGGCTCCCCAATGAGAGACAGTCCCTCCCCTGAACAGCTCAATAACCCATGTAGCCAAAGGAAGAATTATTATCCCTGCTATACAGAAAGGGAAACTGAGGCACAGAGTGATTAAGTGGCTCACCCATGGAGTCGTTGGTGGTGCCGGGCATAGAACCCAGGAGTCCTGGCCTCCCAGCCCCTTCCTCCCCTGGTGCAGGACTGGTACCCATAGGACCCCAGGAAGCTCCAGGGGGCTGGGGGTGTGGAGCCAGGTCCTCCCAAGGCTAATTGGTTTGGGATTAAGGGCAGGATTAATTGTTAACCCTTCCCCTCCCGGAGTCCACAGCATCTGGTGGCCTGAGCTGGGCTGGCGTCATCAGCTGAGAGCGCAGGGAACTGGGGGGGGGGGGGGCAGACAGAGCCAGGGAGCCCAGAACGCCAGCTCAGCTCTTCCCAGACCCCTCCCCCGGCACCTTCCTCCCCCCTTCCTCTGCAGCCCTCCCCCTCTGGCCTCCTCCCCCTGCCTCTACGCCCTTCCCCAAGGGGGCCTCCCCTCCCCGCTCCTGCAGCCTTCTCCTCTCCCATCCCCCCACCTGCAGCCCCCTCTCTCCCCTCCCCTCCCCTCCTGCAGCCTTCCCCTCTCCCCCACCTCTCTCCCCTCTCCTCCCCTCCCCCCCTGCAGCCTTCCCCTCTCCCCCACCTCTCTCCCCTCCCCTCCTGCAGCCTTCGCCTCTCC